TCACAATTCGTTACGAGCTTTATTAGTGCACACGCATCATAGGGATGGATAACAAAAGTGTGCACTTTTATCACTATCAAGTTGCTTTCAGATTCGTTTTTCTTCGCCTAGTTCGTAGGATCTCTAGCCCCTAGGCGGTAGTATCCTCATCAACAACTTTACAAAATATATTAGGCTTTAACCCAATCCCCCTCGATGCATTTCAGATTATTTCTGAAATAATGTGAAATATAATTTCACAAATTTAGTATCATAGACTTTATGGCTTATTAACCATTTCTCATATACTTTCACTTAAATTTCACGTGATTTTTCTTATCATAGACTTTATGGCTTATTAACCATTTCTCATATACTTTCACTTAAATTTCACGTGATTTTTCTCATATGTTCACAGTACTGTATTTTCTTTTAATGATTCCGGATCCCATTAAAAGATTATCGTATTTGCCAACTGCAGTTTTTCAATCACATCTATCAATGCATAAATCATTGATTTTTCACAATCTCATTAATCAAAGCACAAAGCATTTGATTTGTCATACACTATGATTTTATATATCACATTCGTTATCAACCGGCCTCTCCATAGGCTAATGTCAAAACACTCAATCAAAATTGATATGAATTTTGACATTTAAATTATCGACATATAGCTATTCACACAAGGTGATAAATCTAATCAAATAAGAATATAATTCCTCTTATTTAGATTTTCAATAATCAACAATATTGAAACTTTCAAAAATGTTTCACTTCACAAATCACAAATTGATTTTCGCAAATCAATATTCTAAATAACATCTATGTCACGTACATGCAAAATTAGGCCTTTCATAATTACTTGCATATTCAAGATTGCAAATAATATTTTTAATCCACAACAATAATATTACTCAATTATTCACATTATCACTATAAAAAATTTGCCATCATAAAATGAGCCATAGATCACGTCAAATTCAATTGTAACATGCTCATATAGGTAGACACTAAAAACCCCCACTAATTTTCAATATTTAAATAATACATAAAATGTTTAATCATACGATCATGCTCTCTAAGACCCCCACTACATCAAATTTTCAAACACATGCATCAGGAATTAAATTCAAAATATAATACATCATGCTCATTTTCACAATTAGTGAAAACTATAATACCCCCACTATTTCTCAATTTAAATAAATTATTTATTTTCATAAAAATAGTTTATAATAATTCACCATAATATTCCATGTCTCAAACTTTTAATAATAAAATCAATACTTCATCAATATTAAAAAATCAATTTTAGCAATGCTCAAATTGTGCTTCATTTTCTTAGGCAAATTATAACGTTGCAAGTAAAGTCAAATTCACATATTTAATAACAACAATGCACGAAACAGTCATATATGCTATCAGATCACAAATTTATATAAATTGATTTAACACACAATGGTTAGAACATGCACAATATTTCAGTAGCAAAAAATGTGAGTAATTTTCAAGAACAAATTATCATGCCATCACTTTCAATATGAATTGCACTTCAATAGACCAGTTAATGCACATACGGTAAAATATTAAAAAATCAAGAGGTCACATGCAATTAAGTACACCTTAATGAAATTATTAATAATGAATTAATGTTACCTTGATTATTCAAACGGCTATATCATTCTGAATACATCTTGAACCGAAACATACCGGAGTTTGATAATTTTCATTTATCAAGTTTTTCTTACTTCGATTTTTTATGGTTAGGGAAAAAACGCGCACAATTGGCAGCTCCGGCAGTGTTCAGTATTTTGAGCATATCTCCCTCGTTTGAGATCCGATTCAAGAGATTTAATATATGTTTTGAACAGCCAACACAGAGTACTCTAACTTTCGTGTTTTATACTTTCTCAAATTCGGACATTATCAGGTCCGAAACAGACCTCAAAGTATAAATTCGTGAATTGTACATATATTCACCTACAACAAAAAATAAGATCATTAATTTTATTTCGTCAACACAGGATATTAATAAAATAAAATGAATTATCTCCCTTTTCATCATCAATGGTTCTCTTTTGGATCATCGTCAAAACTCATCTTCACGGGATCAAAAATTCGTCTTAAATTGTTGGAACCACGGCTGCACTTCGACGAATGATCACGAAACTTGTGGATGAGGCTTGGACTCCATTTGTTATCTAATTTTATAGGTAACAAGTGGCTGCAATAAACAACCACAATAATATGGAGATAGGCAAGGTGAGGCGCGGACTAGGTCGCTCTCTTAAGACGAATTTCACGACCCCTTCTCTAATGAGGTGCAAAAAGGTTCCGATCATGTCGCCCATGGGATACAACAACCCAGCCTATCTCTTCGCTGTAACTTCACCGAAATTGCACGTTCGAGTGAAGTAGAAGCTTACACCCGACACACAACAAGAGCTCAAAATATATGTATATAGTATAGATGAAAAGTGTTTCTTTTTCTCTTCACACTACTCCATGTAAAGCCACAATATCCCCTTTATATAATATATAATATAACCCCCATAAAACCTCAATTTAATATAGAAATTATGGTATTTTATGTAGGAAAATAATGACTTTGAAGGTTTCAAAATAGTGGTCTAATGACCCTCATAAAAGTGGTCAAAGTCATTATTATAATTTATAATAAAATATATTGTTTTTATTAAAATAACCCAACAAGCTACATCCTCGATCTCGTGAACGGGGTCCACCGCAACCTCCTCATCCGTAGTATGGGAAGGCCCGACATTGGCATGTGCAGTCGATGATCTGACTACACCAGTTCTCTCAACCTCTCACCTACGTCGTGTAGACATAGTCATCCGCTCGCGCTCTTAATGCTCGGCCTCATCACGAACTGCTCACATAAGTGCCTTTGACTTGCCTTTGCATGTCATCTGTTAAATAAGACACTAAACAAGCCAGTCTAAATAATAATAAACAAAAACTTAAATAATGAACTGTTTCATGGAAAAAGAAACGAAATATATGCTTATATTTCGTAAGATAACTTACGAAATATAAGCACACATTTCGTGTCTTTTTCCACGAAATGTGAGAAAACGCCAGATACACAAACATTTCGTGCATAGTACAACAAAACGAAAAGGCTTAATTTCGTAAGAAAACTTACGAAATTCAAGTTTTAGTTTCGTCGTATTATACACAAAAGGCAGAAGAAATAAAAAATAATTATAATTTCGTGAAAAAAATCACGAAATTCTCTGTTTAATTTCGTGATTTTTTTCACGAAACGCAGACTTTTTTTTGCTATCTTCGGAATCAATGAAAACGTACCGATTATTGATGCAATTTGTTAATAAACAACTATAAAACATTGGATTGTCGAAATGGAGTTCGAGTTTTACCTTAAATCGTTGTCGGATTGCTCGTTGAATTCGCGGGAATTCGAAGGGTGTTTGAGAGAGTTGAGAGGATTTTGAATTTTTTTTTTAAAGTTACAAATGAATCAAAAGTGCACTGTAAGGTAGTAAAAGTTGCACTATGAATAGCATTTCAGTTACACGGCTGAATAATTGAAGTGTATTCGAACAGATGGGAGAAGTTCTGCACGCGATGCGGTGGTCGGGGCCGTAGAGGGAAAAGTTGTCGGTTTATGAGAGGAATGTTGTTTCAATTCCGGCGGTGGAGGCGTTTGACGTTCAGGCGGTGGTACATCAACAACCGGTACAAAAGTGATAATATTCCATATAATCTCGAAAATTACACAAAATTTAAAACCATGGACGCTTAAGATTTTTATAGCTGTAATATTGTTATGAATCCTCCTCAACACAAAACATAAATTCTCACAAGACAAAGGACTATATAGATATATATATATATATATATATATATAAGTTATATGTACTTACGTTTATTAGTATAGAGATATATATATATATAAGTTATATGTACTTACGTTTATTAGTATTGTATTTTAGGTAGTTTGTTTTGCATGGTAACATAGATAGGTAGTTTGTTTTGCATGGTAACATAGAATCCTATATGATTTGGATTCCTTGTAACTCCTATAAAAAGGAGCTTTACGTTTAATAAGAACAACACACAAGATTTCTTCTCCGAAAGGTTTTCACATGGTATCAGAGCGAAACGTATAGTTATCAAAAAAAAAAAAAAAAAAAAAAAAAAAAGAAGATGACTGGCGGTGAGAAGCTTACGGCGACCGGCGAAGGAACCAGCAAGGGGCAGTCGGCTGTCTCATCGTACTACCTTCACCCTTCCGATAATCCCAGATCGTTGATTTCGCCAGTTCAACTGAAAGGAGAGAACTATGAGGAATGGGCGAGATCGATGCGCAATTCACTTCGAGCAAAGAAAAAGCTCGGATTTATCGACGGAACTCTGACGAAACCAGCAGAGGACTCTTCAGAGATGGAGGACTGGTGGATGGTAAACTCAATGTTGGTTGCTTGGATCATTAATACGATCGAACCATCATTGAGATCCACCATCACCTATATGGAGAACGTGCAAGACCTGTGGGAGGATCTTCGCCAACGATTTTCTATCGGAAACGGCGCTCGAGTTCATCAATTGAAAGCTGATCTTGCAGCGTGTAAACAACAAGGGCAGGCGATAGTGACTTACTACGGACGTCTAAAGATGATGTGGGACGAACTGGTGAATTACGAACCTATACCCGAGTGTAGGTGTAGTGGTTGCAAGTGCAACATCTCCTCTTTGTAGAAATGATGAAACACATAATGAAAAAGATGAATTGTGTCTTGTATTTCATCAATGAGAGCTTGTACATTTATATACACACAAGAGAGAAATAATAAAGGAAGAAACTAATTACACCTAATCAAATCCCTAATCAAATCACTAATTAAGACTTGATTGAATCTAATCAAATCACTAATCAAATCACTAATTAAGACTTGATTGAATCTAATCAAATCACCTAATTAAGGCTAAACTAAATCAAAATGAATATATATTATATTCTTCTAACACTCTTCACTGGAAAAGAAGCGAGACGAGGAGAAGGTGCATCAATTCTTGATGGGGCTGGATGATGTGATGTACGGAACAGTACGCTCTAATATATTGAGCATGGAACCATTGCCCAATATTAATAGAGCCTACGCGATGATAATTCAAGAAGAACGACATCGGAACATTGCTCGGAGCAACGAAGATCGCAGCGATGCAGTGGGTTTTAGTGCTCAATTGGGATCACATGCGAGAGCAGCGGCTGTACGCAACAAAGAGAAACCAGGGATATGCACCCATTGTGGAAAATCTGGGCACGATGCTAAGACGTGCTATCAGATTGTCGGTTATCCAGAATGGTGGGGAGATAGGCCTAGAGGGAACGAGAAAGGAACTCCCCGAGGCAGAGGAGGAGGACTAATTGGACGTAGCAGAGGAGGCGGTGCAAGAGTAAATGTTACTCGTGTGCCAACCGAAAACGAGGCCACTCGATTCGACACGGAACGACAGGACTTCCCCAACCTTAGTGGAGAGCAATGGGCCACGCTACTTGAAATGTTGAATTCAAGTAAGAGTGGTGGTGAGCGACTTTCTGGTAAGAAAATTTACGATGAATGGATCGTAGACTCGGGCGCCTCTCATCATATTACTGGAAATTTAGAACTGTTATCCCATGTTTGTGAAATAACACCGACTCCAGTGGAAATTCCTGATGGAGAAAATGCAATTGCCTTGAAAGAAGGAAAATTATGCCTAGGAAGCGGTCGTTATTTGAATAATGTTTTGTTTGTTCCGACTATGACCTGCACTCTTATATCCGTGTCTAAATTTTTGAAAGCACTAAAATGTATTATTACTTTCACTGATAAGTTATGTGTGATACAGGACCGCATCTCGAGGTTCCTGATTGGAGCGGGTGAAGAGTGCGACGGGGTCTATTTCTTCCGAGCAATTCCGACAGCACGAGCATGTAAAGCGAACGGTTTGGATGAACGAGAATTGTGGCATCGAAGATTAGGACACCCGTCCAAGAAGTTGTTATCTTTTATTCCAGTAGTTAAAAGTGGTAGTAGTGATCACACTAATAAAGATTCTTGCGATATTTGTTTGCGAGCAAAACAGACTCGAGAAGTTTTCCCTACAAGTAATAATAAAGCGTTGATTGTTTTGCTTTAATTCATGTTGATTTATGGGGTGCTTATCGGACACCTTCGACTTGTGGTGCTGTCTATTTTTTGACTATTGTTGACGATTTTTCGAGAGTTGTTTGGATTTATCTGTTGCTCGATAAGAAAGAAGTTGAACAAACAATTAAAAAATTTTGTGTCATGGTTGATAGACAATTTCAGAAGCAGGTTAGAATTGTACGCAGTGATAATGGTACAAAATTCCTATGCCTAAGATCATATTTTGAAGCACAAGGAATTTTGCACCAAACATCATGTGTCGCAACACCTCAGCAAAACGGTCGAGTGGAGCGCAAACACAGACATATTTTGAATGTGGCTCGAGCGTTGAGGTTCCAGGCAAACTTACCGATACGATTTTGGGGTGAGTGTGTTTTGACAGCAAGTTACTTGATAAATAGGACTCCGTCTTTACTTCTTGGCGGCAAAACTCCCTATGAGATGTTGTTTGGAAAGCTGCCACAATATGGCGTTTTGAGGACATTTGGTTGTCTATGCTATGCACATCGGGTTGATCGCAACAAAGATAAATTCGGTGAACGTAGTAGAGAGTGCATTTTTTTGGGTTATCCACATGGGAAGAAAGGATGGCGAATTTTCGACATAAAAACCGGCAAATTCTTTGTTTCCCGTGACGTTGTATTTTCTGAACATGTATTTCCTTATAAGACGAACGTTGAACTAGAATTTCGCGATCTGGTTGGAGAGACAGTTGATAATGTTCTCGATGATGACACCGACGAAGTGAGGGGGAGTAACGAGGCAGGTGATGTTAGGGAAAACGACGAACAAAATGAAGCAGTAGAAACGGTGGATCGGGGAGCCACTGATATTGCTGAAGATGTGGCGGTTGCGGCGCCCAAAGAAAATCTAGGAAGGGGTCACCGACACCATAAGCCGTCTGTTTTGTTGAAAGATTTTGTTACATACAATGCTCGGTGCTCGCATGACCCCGTTCGCCCTACACTCGACTCACAACAAGGATCCTCAGGTACTTCCCTTTATCCCATAATTAATTATGTGACATGTGGTAAATTCTCTGCTAGGCATAGAGCCTTCGTAGCTCAAATTGATACAGGTGTTGAACCCACACGATTCTCTGAGGCTATGAAAGATGAGAAATGGAGAGAAGCAATGAGATTAGAAATTCAGGCTTTGGAGAACAATAATACTTGGACTTTGAAGACTCTTCCTGCTGGAAAGAAGGCCATAGGCAGCAAATGGGTCTACAAAATCAAGTACAAGTCCGACGGCAGTATTGAGCGGTACAAAGCTCGTTTAGTCGTACTGGGGAATAATCAACGGGAAGGCATAGACTACAATGAGACATTTGCACCGGTAGCAAAAATGGTAACGTTGAGAACATTTTTGGCCGTGGCTGCAGCAAATAAGTGGGAGCTTCACCAAATGGATGTGAATAACGCATTCTTGCATGGCGATTTGAGCGAAGAGGTTTATATGAAATTGCCACCCGGTTTTGCTTCCGCTGATCAGACGAAGGTGTGCAAATTGCAAAAATCGCTATATGGTTTAAGGCAGGCTCCGAGATGTTGGTTTACGAAGTTAACAGCAACACTTAAGCTCTATGGCTTCTCTCAATCGTTATCGGATTATTCTCTTTTCACTTATGACAAGGGATTTATTCGCTTAAGCATACTGGTTTATGTTGATGATCTAGTTGTTGCAGGAAATGATTCTACGGCTGTGACTCGTCTCAAGAATTATCTTGGACGTTGCTTTCATATGAAGGACCTTGGTGTACTAAAATACTTTCTTGGCATTGAAGTGAGTCGCGGGTTAGATGGAATTTTCCTATGCCAGCGAAAATATGCGTTGGACATTGTGGCTGAGACGGGTTTGTTAGGGGCCAAGCCAGCGTCTGTTCCGATTGAACAAAATCATCGACTCGCTTTGTCAGAACACCCACTTATGGAGGATCCAGAACGTTACCGGCGTTTGATTGGTCGGCTAATCTACTTGACGATAACTAGGCCCGAACTTAGTTATTCGGTGCATATATTGGCGCAATTTATGCAGAATCCAAAGGTAGATCACTGGGAAGCTGCGATGCGAGTAGTTCGTTATTTAAAAGGACAGCCTGGCCAAGGTGTGTTGTTGCGTTCCGATAGTGACTTGCGACTGTATGCGTACTGCGATTCGGATTGGGGGAGTTGCCCGATAACACGACGTTCGTTAACTGGTTATTTTGTGATGTTGGGAGGGTCGCCTATCACTTGGAAAACGAAAAAACAACATACTGTGTCTCGATCATCGGCAGAGGCTGAGTATCGTTCAATGGCAACTACATGCTGTGAGCTGAAGTGGTTGAAAGGACTTTTGTTTTTTCTCGGGATCAAACATGAAAAACCAATGCGTCTGTATTGTGATAGTCAAGCAGCTTTGCACATCGCCGCAAATCCTGTTTTTCATGAACGAACGAAACATATTGAGATTGATTGCCATTTCATTCGAAATGAAATAAAACGAGGTAATATTGCTACGTCCCATGTACGGACGCATGAGCAGCTCGCCGACATTCTAACCAAGGGACTTGGTAAACCACAATTCGATCAATTTCTTCGCAAGTCGGGCATTCACAATCTTTATGCGCCAACTTGAGGGGGAGTATAGAGATATATATATATATATATATATATATATATATATATATATATTAGTATAGAGATATATATATATATATAAGTTATATGTACTTACGTTTATTAATATTGTATTTTAGGTAGTTTGTTTTGCATGGTAACATAGATAGGTAGTTTGTTTTGCATGGTAACATAGAATCCTATATGATTTGGATTCCTTGTAACTCCTATAAAAAGGAGATTTACGTTTAATAAGAACAACACACAAGATTTCTTCTCCGAAAGGTTTTCACAGATTAGGTGAAGGCAATGTAATATTGATAGAAAAAGTAGGGTTTCCCTCAATACACAACGGATAAAAGATAACTCCAGCTACTCTACCTTACCTAACCTAACATTAATCTGAAATAGCATGAAAAGAAAGCAAGGTTCGGTCTGCCCTTTTATAGAAAACAAGGGGGACAACCACTGGAGTTAGCAGGTGCACTAGTGCATGCTAAACGCATGAGTCCATGCACACTCAGCATCAAAACGACGGCGTTTAACTAAACCCAAAATAAAAGAAAAAACGTGTTTTAAATAAATGGCGATAACGCTTCTTCAAGTTGGAACGACGTCGTACGGCATTGTTCAAAAAACGGTTAAGTTCGTTACAAATATTTAACAGCTATCTTCCATATATTTTCATGAATAACACTTTGGTAGTGTTAATCCGAATTTGCTATTTTATAATCATTTTTCCATTATCGGCGCGCTTTCCTCCGCAGCCAAAAATCCACAATCCTATTCACGAAAATGGTTCCAGCAAAACGGAATAATCTCCACCGGCACGACCAATCCACCGCCGCCGATCGATATGTTTCTATCGATTCTGATTCGTCGACGAACAATAATTTCTGGCATCAATCGAAGACCACAACCACCGTCACACCCGTAGCTTCGGGCAACAGCGCAATGGCGATTTCAGGCGGCGGCGGCGGCGGTACACCACACTTGCATCCACGATTTGCTTTTCCGGCGGTAAAATCGCTATGCATTTAATATGTCATAGCATTTTACTGTTTCTCGTTAGGTAACGCCTCAGATTTATCTTTGTTTATGGTGAATTGTCTCTAAATTCTAAAGAATTGAAATATTTTTTTAGGTTATTATATTGAAGTTGTTAATTTGATTAAAAAGATCACTTGTTGGATAATTAAGTTGAAGATATTACCAAATCAAGGATAACTCTAGATTCAAAGCAATCCATCACAATTGACTTTTGACAGAGTGTAAACAAAAGCTTGACCAATTCTGTTTCTTCATTGGGTGGGTTACTCTGATCCGACTAAGTTTAATTAGGTTAAAATAACCAAGTCAATGATGTATGTATTGGATAATCTAATGCAGGTTATATTTGATTTTCTATTTTGTCTCTGATTCTTGAATAGTGAATGTGTTCATAAAACGAGTAGTACCCTTTCCGGTATTCGTTTCTTTCATTTTGTGATCTTCCCCATCCTACGAGTAACATTTTTTGTGTATGATCGAATCTTATATACCTCACCAATAAAGAAAAATAGAAAGAAAAAAAAAAGGATTTCAATTATGTCATCTGATCTCTGCGGATCTCGCTTGTTTTTGGCTTTGCCTGATGATATATTAACTATAATAACGAGTTCCTTCTCTCCAGGGGATCTGTGTAATCTTGGTCTCACATGTCCAGGTCTCGACTCTTTTATGTCTTCACACAAAGTATGGCTTTTCCAATGTGATAAATTGGGTCTAGTTCCTTATACCACTCTCATTGAATGGAGAAAGGGAGTTTTTTCTTACAAGGCCCTTTGTCGGTTCTTGGTGAATATTCAACCGATGATTGGTACTTGGGTTCACCGAAATCCTGAACTCAGGCATGTAGTCTATGTTATGCCTGGTTTTCTATCAGTTGTTGGATGCCGGATAATTCCCCAAGAGATAGGCCCTTTAGGCCTTGAAGATGGTCCAATTTTGTGGACACCTGTCTTCGAAATCCTCTGCAATCATGTGGGGTCCACTTCGTTCTTTCTACACGGTAGGGAGCGAGGGGTAGATTACGTTTATCCTGGATTACTGAAATCAGTTGATAGGGATTGCAATGTTCTTTTGCTCGAGGTTGAGCATCGGCATCAACGGGATGGAGGAAAACTGGCTGACCTTAAGAATTTTACTCATGAAGCAGATAACGAAGTATCTAGTTCACAGAGAATAGTTGGACGGAAATGGACTGAAAAGCCTTTTATCTGTTTGGAATCTGATGATAGGGAGCTGCTCCTCGAGTTTGTTACTAGCCAAGTCCGCGATATTGTTCCAGATGCAGCAAATGTGTTATTGTTTCCTCGCCCAAGAATAGATGCAGTTGATGCCCAACAAGATTTCATAGTCCTACATGAAAGGAGATTGCTGCTTTTACAAATGTACGAGCGCGGTAATATGAATCATGACTTAAAATCCGATGAAGGATCGCCTTTGAATCCCACCGAATTAGGATCGAGTGAGGTCTCCAAAAGTGTGGACTGTACATGTAACTATCCGGCTTCTCAGGCAGGTGATGCAACACTTCACGAATTTCTTCAATTGGGTGATTGGGTTGGATTGAGTTTACAAGCTGAAACTAAGGAATTTTATTCTTGTAAACATTGGCCTTACATGTACGAAAGTCTATCTGCTTTCTATAAATTCCCTATTCGGGCTCCCAAGGCATGTGACGAGGAGTATGCTGGTTTATGGGGAGGGACTTTTGGTTTGCCACCATCTGCAGACAAACCTGGAAAGCCCCTTTTCTTGATTTACATCTCTTATGAAGAGTCCGAAGGGAAGCAACAAATGATTGCCAACAAGATACTAGATGGTAAATCCCGTCTTTCTCCTTTTAATGGATCGACTATGTTTATAGTGAATATAGATGAACCGTCCATGACCATATTCCCATGGAATACAGACCAACAATCGAATCCTATTAGTGTTATGCAGTCATTTAAGGGAGAAGGTATTTGCTATTGGTCTCGTTACAGATATCCTAGTATTGAACCTGGTTCGCTTTTTGTTCTTGAAAATGGATTGCTCGTTTATTTGTGGGAGCATGCAAGGGAGGTGTTGACTTTGAAGAGGATTTATTTGGGGGAGCTTTTGAAGAGGGGTGAAAGATTGCCTTCTTTCCCGCCAGTTTTGAACTTTGCGCATCTAACGAGCAAGTATAGAAATATTTACCCTGGATTTTCACATTCTTGAAACGGCTCTATTTTTTCCAAGGTACAACTCTCTGTAGACCGTTACTTCTTTTTACTTGTCTGACTTGGATATGGTAAATAATAGAATAATAATCTGTATCGTTCATACGATTAGGATTTAGGATCGAAGTGCTTTTTTGCATGTGCTTCATATGTGCATTTCTATATGGCATATGCTGATGCCATTTTTGTGGTTTTTTTCTTTACCCCAATTTATCATTGCAAATTCGTCATTTATGGTAATGCATATTTTTTTTTTGACAGGTAAAACTATCTATAGAACTTTAGACGGTTTGTATTCTTCTCCTCTGGCGTTTCACTAATCAAAGAAGTTCGATATATTCTTTCGGCTCTCTGCTTGATATGATATCCTGTGACCGAGTCTTGGTAGATCATATTTGCATAACCATGGTGTTTAGAAATGTTAAGTTTGATGTTTTATAGATAAAAATTGATGCTGAAAAGTTGGATTTATTTGAGCAATGGTAAGTTTGGTCAGGATATTTTTGTGTTTTGGGTGCAGTTTTCATGTGAAATATAAATGACTTATTCTCATTCGGTTTATTTTCCGTTTTCGGTTTAGTCTATCGGTTTGGCATAAAATCGATATTTGATAAACTATGAATTTCGTCTTTTTAGCCCATTTGTTTGAGGATTAACAATAATAACCTGCCATAGCCCAAAATAACGCATTTCACTGTTTCTCGTTAGGTAATGCGTCAGATTTATTAATAAAAACATGAGTTGGATTCAATTTGACTAGAAAGTTCTTACCTGTTTATGAAAATATATCAAATTGACTCTTCACAATAGGTTAAGAAAATGATTTTTTCTTCCCAGCAAGGCATTAATTGTAAACAAAGATCACCGTTTTCTGTTTATTTTTCACCTTTTTATATCTCTGAAGTCTTCTTGATGAAATTACAGTGTTGTGATGCTGTGAAAATGGTCTTTATTTATGGTGAATTGTCTCTAAGGAATTGAAATATTTTTTGAATTTATTATATTGTAGTTAGTTTGCTTAAAAAAAACCACTTGTTGGATAAATTATGTTGAACATGTTAGCAAATCATGGATAACTCTTAATGAAATGAATGTGCCATTTCAAGATTCAAAGGAACCCCCTCGTCTCCCCTCTCTCTCTTCTTACTTGTTCACCATCTATCTATAATGATTTGACTTTTGACAGTGTAAACAAAAGCTTGACCAATTCTGTTTCTTCATTGGGTGGGTTACACTAAGTTTTAGGTTAAAATAACGAAGTCAATGATGTAGGTATTGGATAATCTAATGCATGCGTAATTGCTTCCAGGTCAGGTTGTATTTGATTTTCTATTTGTCTATGATTATTGAATAGATAATGTGCTCTTAAAATGAATAATACCCTTTCCGGTATTCAGTGCAATAATTGATTGGATCGAGGTATATTTCCAGTCATTCTTTGATTTTGTAATAACATTTTTTGTCTCTAATTGAATCTTTTTACCTCATCAATAAAGAAGAAAAAAAAAGATTTCAATTATTCTCAACTAACTTGAGAATAATGTCGTTTGATATCTGTGGATCAAGCTTGTTTTTTGCTCTACCAGATGATATATTTACTGTAATAACGAGTTCCCTCTCTCCTAGGGATGTGTGTAGTCTGGGTCTCAGTTGTCAAGGTCTCAACTCTGTTCTGTCCTCAGACGAAGTATGGCTTTCCCAATGTAATAAATTGGGCCTGCTCGCTTCCAGTACCCTCATCGAATGGAGAAAGGGAGTTCTTTCTTACAAGGCCCTTTGTCGGTTCTTATTTAATACTCATCCGTTGATTGGCATTTGGGTTCAACAAAATCCTGAGCTGGGCAATCTAGTATATGTTATGCCCGGTTTTTATCTGTTGTTGGTTGCAGGATAATTCCCCAAAAGGTAGGTCCTTTAGGCCTTCAAGATGGTCGTATTTTATGGGCACCTGTATTTGAAATTTTCTGCAAATACAACGGCTCCACAGCATTCTTTTTACACGGGAGGGAGGAAGGAGCAGATTATGTTTATCCGGGATTGCTAAAATCAGTTGATACGGATTGTAATGTGCTTTTTCTCCAGGTGGAGCCTAGGCATCAACCAGATGAAATAGATAAGGATGTATCACAGATATGGACTGAAATGCCCTTTATCCGTTTGGAATCTGATGATAGGGAGAAGCTCCTCGATTTTGTTAGTAGCCAAGTCCGAGATATTGTTCCACAAGCAGCAAATGCGTTATTGTTTCCTCTCTCGAGAAATGGTGAGGTTGATTCAGAACAAGATTTTGCAGTCTTACATGAAAGGAGGTTGTTGCTCTTACTAATGTATAATCGTGTTGATACGGATCTTGATTTAAGGTCAAGTGAGGTCTGCAGAAGTCTGGATGGAGATCACCGTAACCGCAGTAAGGGTAAGACTCTGTTTCGATTTCTGAAGACTGGTCTCAAACAGTTACTAAGGGAATCGAGATCAACAACCGGTGATCAAGAACATCTTAAACTTAACGAATTTCTTCGACCGGGCGATATAGTGGGATTGAGTTTACGAGCCAAAACTGTGGACGTACATTGTTATAAAGTGTGGCCTTATATGCATGAAAGTCTATCCGCTCTCTATAAATTCCCTATTCAGGCTCCCAAGGCAACTCACGAGTATGCTGGTTTATGGGGAGGGACTTTTGGTTGGCCACCGTCTTCAGACAAGCCCGGAAAGGCCCTTTTCTTGATTTTCATCTCTTATGAAAATCAAGAAATGATTGCCACCAAGATATTAGAAGGTACATCCTATGTTGCGCATCCTAATGGATCGGCTATGTTTATTGTGAATATAGATAAACCATCGGTGGGAATATTCCCATGGGATACTGAAGAAGAATCCAATACTACTATTGAGGTTAAGGAGTCCTTTAAGGGAGAAGGCATTTCAGATGGTTATGGTTTCAGATACCCTGGTTCTAAACCCGGTTCGCTTTTTGTTCTTGAAAATGGATTGCTCGTTTTCTTGTGGGAGGAGTCAAGGGAAGTGTTGACTTTGCAGAGGCTCGATTTGGGGGAGCTTTTGAGGAGAGGTGAAAGAGTGAATCCTTTATCGCCAGTTTCGAATTTTGTGTATCTAACGAGGAAGTACACAAATGTTTACTCTGGAAATCCAGATTCAAGAAACCCTCTATTTTTTCCAAGGTATGACTCTCTGTAGACCATTGCAGTTTTCATCCTCTCAAGTTTGCACCAATTTCACACTTGGTCCCTCGTGTTTCAATAATTTAACACTTTTGGTCATTTATGTCAATTTACTGTTAGTCCTTCAGTTAAGGCAGTTATGGGCACACACTTGATTCCGTTAGTACTAACAGAACATTGACGGATAATACTAAAAATGTTGAATTGTCGAAGCATGAGGGACCAAATGTGTTTTTTTGTGAACATGGGGACCAAATGTTAAACCGGTGCAAACATGAGGGATGAAAACTGTATTTTCCATTTTTTTTTTCTTTTTTTCATCGTATCTCGTGATTTATATAGACAAGTTTACTTATCTGACTTGGATATGGCAGATAATAGGAGGCTTGTGTTGTACAAATAATTCTTGTCAGATGGTGATAATTTTTTTTCTGGTTTTAAAGCTGTAATATTTTTCCATGTTGAATTTGTATTGTGCAAATATTTTTTGTCACGTGCGAAATTGTTAAGATGGTTTGCAAAATTTCAAAATTCGTTTTTGCTATAGACTCGGGAAAAAAAGAGGATTACAGTTTTGTTTGGCATTCACAGGGATGACGTTTAGAGAAAAATCAAAATAAGACTGCGTATGCTGGCGTTGTTCCCCTCTGGTGTTTGTTTGGTTAATCTTGGGGTGGTTTGATTCCGTTTCTTATGCTGCTGCCAAACGAAGAATTGTGCCGTAGATGAAAGAGGTTCGATATATTCTTTCGACTGTACTGATTATGATATTCTGACTGAGTTTTTGATAAATGCATTAGAAAAAGAAACATTTGTATAATCGTTGTGTTTGGACTTGTTAAAGTCTGATTGATTTATTTGAGGAATGATGAGTTTGGTGAGTTGTATATTTTTTGCAGTTTTAGTTTTTGTTATATATATATATATATATATATATATATATATATATATATATATATATATATATATATATATGATTTTTCTCTGCTTTTAATCAGGTAGAAAACAGAAAATTATGTAGCCACTGATTGGTTTATTTAACCCCAAGAATAAAATATATTTCGATCTTAGTCTAATTTGGACACTTACAATGAATACCAACTCTAAAGAATAAACATTGTATTTTTCAGTAGAAGATATAATATCAATTTTCTTTTAAATTAATTTACAATTGAAAAAGTCAAACCTAGGTAGTGTAGTGGAAGTTGGAATGGAATTTCCGAATTCGGCCGATCCCGATCCAACAATATCCAAATCGGGAACCGTTTTTTTCCCGATTTCCAAATTTTCGATTTCTGGTTTTTCCGATTGTATTTGGAATGAAATCGGAATTGTATATAAAATTATCGGAAATTCCGATGTTCTTTCGATTTTAGTTCCGAAACATAAGTTGGATACAGTTTTACTAGAAAGTTCGTATGTGTTTGTGACAATATATCAAATGGACAAACTGATACAAGACATCAGTTTCTGTTTATTTCTCAGCTTAATATATCTGTGAAGTCTTCTTGGTGTATCTGTGCTGGAGATGGATTATCTCCTTTTGGGATTTGGTGAAGAATTAAAATAATTTGTCAGTTTATTATAAACAAAAGCCTGACCAATTCTGTTCCTTCATTGGGTGGATTACTCTGATCCCACTAAGTTGAATTAGTTTCAAATAACAAAGTCAATCCTTAATAATT